GTTGACCTGTTCGACTCGTGGCCCGACCCTTTCCCGCGTGAAACGGTTGTATTCATTCAGCCAATCAATCTAAGAATGACGGATACGATGAAAAGGTTAAATGTTGAGTCATAACAACAACAAGATGTATGATATTCTACATTAATAAGATTTAAATATTGTGCACTAATTGTTTTTTTAAATTCGATCTAAAGATTTAGATGTAGCCAGTTCTAAAACAGATTTACAACTGTGATACAACTGATAAAATGGCGGGATTGACGCGTATATTATCTCATATTTGTATTTTCAGATATTGTACGAAACGAGTATTCGTGTATATATATCTCTTTATGCGCGTGTTCCACTGGGCACTTCGATATTAGGTGGTCCTTTACATACCTGTTGTCGAGTCATCATTTCATATTTTATCAATTTTGGTTCGTAAGGAACGAATGATACTTCTTCAAAAGTGTAATATTGTTTTCCATCAAAATTATTCTGGAAAAGAATGTATACATGAATACAATCGAGGATATTTAGGCAAAATGATGCGTTGTACGATTGTTTTCTCAATGTGATTATTCTCCTTCAGAAATATTGGGTAAGTGCAAGGCAATGTTACTGTGTATATATTCCATGGTGTGTTTCAATGTTGTATATGCATGTCGTATTTCTATCTGAGTGTGGTGTGAACGTATGTACGACGGTTACGAAACGTTTAGTTTCTGTGGAAAGCCTCCATCTCGTTTATGATGCAAGTTGCATACAAAACAGTTTGCTAACCCCTTAACCACACAAACTTTCTTAATTGCTAAATACTTTCCAGACGTCTACCCTCAACCGTCTCGAATACGGCCCATACAATGTAGCAATTCGCGAATGCGTTGACTTACCGGTGTTTCTGCTTCTGTTGTCATAAACACTGTTTCTATCCGAACACCATAGTCATGGTCTTCGTAGTAGCCCGGTTCTGGGTGTTAATGATTCGGTAATAATGAAAAGAAAAGCATGCAACAGAAACGTTGCTACGTAGTGCATATTTGAAATAAACAGAGAACAATATTTGTCGCAACAGATGACCATTGTCATCTTTGATTCAATGTCACTTTCAATTCATCGATTCTAGGTTATAATTCGATTTCTATGATATTGATTCGGCATTATTCTGTGTTAATTTGGCTACCCCGGTTATAACTGAGTGGTCTCCGACCCTGCGAACTGTGCATAATTATGGATTAGTTTCACATCAAATGCGTTTTAAATCGTTTAATTTATACGCGGCTAATAAATAAATACATTATTTGTAACTTAACGCTAACAATTTTTGTTCGACTGTTTAGGTTGCGCATTCAAGCTCAATTTATTTTAACATAAATCCAAACTTTGCCAGACTTTGTGACAGAGACCTACCATCAGAAAGAAAAACATTCTCTTCGAGTGCCAACATTCTACCAATACTGCACGGACCTGTATAACGTTATAGAAATGTTCACTTAACATTTAAATAGAGATACCTTACCGTCAGAAGTGAACATGCCAGGACTCAATGCAGCTTCACCCGCGCGATAACCGTAGGCAATTCGTTGAGGCCCTGAATTGTGAAATATGGAAATGTACATAATAAGAATGGCAATACATGTAATGGTAACTATGACAACGTACTGAACGACGGTGATTGATCTATTGATATAGATAATATATAATGACACAGTACACCAATGATAATGAGAAATGTGTGGATAACTCGGTAATGTAGTACATATTTGAATAAAACATGTATATTGATATGTACCTAACCATAAAATTGATGATCAGTTATGATCGTTGATGTATGTTAATTATTTATAACCCAACTGGTGCAAATTGATGGGATATGACACCAGAGAGTGATAAGGTAACATTTCAAACACAGGGGTTGTAAAGTACAGCAATGACAAATTTCCATTTCGAAATGCAGCTAGTAAGTGAAGTAATACAATACATAACATTCGTATATATCTTCATACAACTTGATTGAGGCAGTAAACAAAAAAAGAAAAGAAAATAAGATTGACAGTATTAGTTAAAGAAGCAATATAGGATACTGTGTGTTTGCTTATATAGCATTGTTTGAAAGAAAGCTTATCGACAGTAAAACAATCATTCAGTAACGAACAGAGTTTTATTCGTTTCACGAAATAATGCACTGAGAAATAATGGAACGCACTATTAATTCAAAATGCATACATATGTTGGATATTTATTATGACAAGTACTATATTGTGTACATAGAACATAAATATTAATAAGTTATCCGTATTCCTCGAGAGGAAAGTAAAGTACAAACTAAATATCCATACAGTATTACTCAAGCATCGCGACATGCTTGTGACGTAACCGTGTTATCTCATAATACATACCTTCATGGACATTAAGCATTGCACCAATACCGTGACCTGTTCCATGTTTATAGTTCCATCCGTTATTCCATAACTGTTGACGTGCATGTATGTCCACATCACGACCTGTACAACAGATTATTATACATCGTGTCATATGGAAGCCAATTTTCATATTTGCGCAATTAGAGGTAGACATGTGTTTACCTGACATTTATCAATGTTTACGCAAGTAGCTTGTCGGGTAGGGGGCACGATGCACGTCAATGTTTACGCAAGTAGCTTGTCAAGGAGGGGGCACGATGCACGTCAATGTTTACACAAGCAGCTTGTCAGTTAGGGGGCACGATGCACGTCAATGTTTACACAAGCAGCTTGTCAGGTAGGGACACGATGCACGTCAATGTTTACGTAAGCAGCTGGTCAGGAAGAGACACGATGCACGTCAATGTTTACGCAAGTAGCTTGTCGGGGAGGGGACACGATGTCCGTCAATGTTTACGCAAGTAGCTTGTCAAGGAGGGGACACAATGCACGGCAATGTTTACACAAGTAGCTTGTCGTGGAGGGGACAGATGTACGTCAATGTTTACGCAAGTAGCTTGTCAAGGAGGGGCACGATGCACGTCAATGTTTAAGCAAGTAGCTTGTCGGGGAGGGGACACGATGCACGTCAACGTTTACGCAAGTCGCTTGCCAGAGAGGGGACACGATGCACATCAATGTTTAAGCAAGTAGCTTGTCTGGGAGCGGTCACGATGCACGTCAACGTTTAAGCAAGTTGCTTGTCAAGGAGGGACACGATGCACGTCAACGTTTACGCAATAGCTTGCCAGGG